GGAAAAACACCCAATCTGGCAACACCAGCTACCAGTGTCGTAGCCTACAGCCCCATGCGTCATCAAAATAAAATGCATAGTGGAAGCCACAGCAGCATGGAGGCGACCGTGGAGGCGACAAAGCAGCAGTATGATCACTTAAAACAGTTTTATGACCAGGTGGTCGGTGAGGATGATGGCAACAATCTTACATTTCTCTGCAAACTTTGCCCGCCGGCTTTCAGTAAAAAAATCCGCATTTAAACCTGCCTGGTATAATTTTCCAGGATTCCTTTTTAGTATGTACTGAAATGAAATTTCAAATGGAAAAAATAATAATAATAAAAAAAAAAACATTTGCACCTTAAAGACTACTTTCCTGTTTTTCTTTTAATAATTCCTCATAAAAAAGACCATTCAAGCAGCACATTTTTCCTGATGTTTTTGAGAATATACTGTAGGGGTGAAAGCTGCAGCTGCTACTAGTGTGAAGTGAATGGACAGCAACAAAGCGTTAAAGCAACAATGGGGAAATGCTGTCCCCTCAATGCTAATGTAAACCCTGGTTGGATAAGGATTCAAAACTGGATATGAAGATGAAATCTGATGCACAGTTTCATTGTTACAACTGATAAAATAATTGTTGTCTGTGATTCTACAGTATGCTATGGTGTAATTGAGCAATATATGAAAAAAAAAACAAAAAAACTATGAACTAGTTCATTTTTTGGAACTGTGAACTTAGTTCAAAATTTTGAATTATGAACTATGAACTGAACTAGTTCATTTTAAAATGTGTGAACTGAACTTTGAACTAGTTCACGTAGAAAGAGAACTTTCCCAACACTGGATGGAGGATCCAGCAAGGCGGAGACAGGAATACATACTAGCACTCCTCCAATATTAGCATGATCTCATCTATTTGACTCTGTTCCAGTTGTAGGGTGAGTGAGAAGGTGAGTGTGTTCTTCCTGCGTTCACACCAACAACCAACAACCTTAGCAGAGGTGACGCTGAATCTGCTGCGACTGCACACCAGGCTTGGCGCCTCCGCATTCATTGCTGCCCCCCTCTAGACACTGGCTTGTGCATCATTTCATGGGCATTATGCTGCCATGCCTTATGCATAATTTGGGTTTTTGTTGGACAGAAGTTCTGGACCTATTATGAATGCTCTATGTATACGTCCAAGATTGGAAAAATACACAGAATGTTAAGCGTATTCCAGCGTTTTAGAAGATTCTGGGACGTCGGCATACGCTGGCTAAATCGAGGTGTGACAGCGCCGTAAGCAATACTCTGATCCGATATGTTTGACTCCCTCTAGTGGTCTGGAGCACTTCTGTTTTATGAAGCAAATTTGCTGCTTTATTATTTGCATCAATATCTTGAATTCTTTTTTATTCATTTGTTGTGTTGATTGTATCGTTTGGTTTTATTTCAGCAATTGTACGATTTTTGTTGGCAACATTTTTCTGTTGAAATACTTTTTTGTGTTTGCATGTTTTGGAGTTTGTATCACTCAAGTTTTTGTAACTTGTTTCGTACTTTATTGGGTATTTTTTCACCTGTGGGCCTCAGTACCCAGGTCTTCGGAAAGGGTTCCTCTTTTTAGATCAAAGTTAATCTTCACAAACCAAGGAGATAACTGATAACTTTTTAGACCTGGCAACCATTTGCATAAGCCCTGACAACTTCTTTTTTTCCTGAGACTTTCCCAGTGTGGGTAACATATTTCTTGAGACCCAAGGATGTCTTAAAATTTGCACCATACTCCTGACCCGATCTGATAAACCAGCTGCATCAGAGACGGAACAACTTAAGTGTTGATCATTGGCTCCCCACTCCTACACTTACTTTACATGATGCATCTCCCCAGACTGGTCACAGAAATCCAAGATGACCCGCCCACTCAGGACACTCATTTCACCAGCCTTCTCTTTGTTCAGACTTACAGTCTGGTGAGCCTGTGCTGACAGGAAACAGCTAAAGCAAAGCTTTTCCACCACTGGTTGTCAATAAACTGCTGTAGGAACACAGAAAACACACGCTACTGCACAGATTATTTTACATTTACACTGAATGTTCATTAACCAACAAACCTTACATTGACCATGCTAGTAAATGGAAATGCTGCTAAAAATAAAGGTCATTCTGTTCTGTAGTATGATAATAAAGCTTCTTTGTTTTAAAGCAGACTAATCGTGATAGTCTGTTCTGTTTTTATGCTCCTATCATACCTTGATGATTATATTATATCAGGAAACCGAAAAATTGTAATTTTATAATATAAATATTACAACTATTTCGTTCATCACCACCATCGTCACCACCATCACCACCATCATCATCATCACCACCATCGCCACTATCATCATCATCACCACCATCACCACCATCCTCATCACCATCACCACCATCACCACCATCATCATCACCATGATCATCACCACCGTCATCATCATCATCATCACCACATAACCATGATCACCACCATCACCACCATTACTATCATCATCATCACCATCACCACCATCATAACCACCAAAACCACCATCCTCACCACCATCACCATGATCACCACCATCACCACCATCCTCATCACCATCACCACCATCCTCACCACATCACCATGATCATCACCACCATCACCATCACCACCATTACCATCACCATCACCACCATCATAACCACCAAAACCACCATCACCATCACCATGATCACCACCATCACTATCATCACCATCCTCATCACCATCACCATCACCACCATCCTCACCACATCACCATGATCATCACCACCATCACCATCTTTGAATCAATTTGACTGTATGAGCTGGTGAACTTTAAAGTGTCTTGAGATGACATGTGTTGGTAATTGGTGCTTTAGAAATAAACTGAATTGAATTAAAACCATTCGAATAGCACTTATCATGCTGCCTGCTGACTAATTTCTGCTCTGGGTAAAGAGTCCTAACCGATGCGCTATTCAGAAGGTGCCTCAGTTAAGTTTGTCTTTGTTTACCTCATTTTCTTTAAGCCATTTTTCTAGATTAGTAAAATTTTTGGTGTTGTTTTGTGAAATAATTGTTTGGAAGAACTAAACAAATAAAAATAAAAAAGTTTTGGAGGAAGCCTAAACCCAAAAGTGTGCAGAATATTGATTCCCCCCAGGGCTAACCCTGAATGACAAACTAAGACTTTGATCAATCATTTTAAAGTTTTCTAAATATAGTTCCAACAACTGCACATTTCTTAATAAGTTGATGGAAAAAGAAGGCTTCACTACTCAAGACAAAATTCACACCAAAACCTCATGGGAGAATGTCTTTTATGGTTTGTTATCAAACGGAAACATTTAGGTGATAAATGAAATGCACTGCAAAAACTGATCTAAGAAAAATGCAATATAATTTCTCAAAATAAGTGTATTTACCCTAAATTTCAGCAGGTAAATAACATTATCTGCCAACGAATCTAGGGTTTTTTCACTTGACTTGAAGTTCTTTTTTTTCCTTTTTTTTTTTTTTAAACATCAATCATCTTATACCATTGCTCAAATATGGAGTAAATTTTGTTTCATTATTATTCCAAGTAAATAATTTTCTAAATCGAAAAAAAAAAAAGTTTTATTAATGGAAATGTGAAGAATCCAGAAATGAACTTAAAGGTTTTCAGAAATTTTGCTGTTTCCTTAGATAGCATTTTCTTTTCCCCATTCCTTTATTTTTTTTTTCCAAAAATGATTTTTAAACTTTCTTTTTTATAAACTTTATTTATTTATTTTACAAATTGTATATTTCAAAATGTATTTTAAGTTTTTCAGATTTTTCTTTTTAAAATTAAGTTGAGTTATTTTTTTTTTTTAGTTGAGTTCAACAGATATATATATTCTCTTCACTTTAAGCCAGATACAAAGCAGATCAATAGAAACACTGTTCGCTCCTCACTCCAGAGGAAAACCTGCAACCAGAAGTAAAGAGGATGCTTAGAAATGCAATTTGGAAAGACTGGAATTTGTAATATCTGAAAGAGGAATTTTAATAAAACATGAAAATATAAAATCTGCAAAAAATAAAATAAAAAGTGGGAAAACTATAATTTTGCAAAAAGATTAAACTTTGAGGAAACAGCAAAGTTACTCATCATTTTTCTTTTCTAAATCATTTCTTCATCATTTCTTTTTAAATTTCCATTTTAAAATATCTTTTGCTTGCAAAAATAATGGAACAAAATTCCCTCCAACTTTAAATCAAGGGAAAATACATTGATTTCAAGAAAAAATTACTTGGGCTACTTTAACTTTTTGCAGTTTGGCACAACAAACAAAGCACTGCACATCAACACAAGGATACCAGAGGATAGAGGTGACATCATACTCTCAGGTTTCGGATGAAACTCGAGGTGGATGCATTTACAAGCAGCAGTCGGTTTAGGCTGAAACGCTGCAGGTGTCTGCTAAAAACGTTCATAGTCATGAAGCATGAGTCCCAGCACGCTTCCAAAAGCAGTGAACCGTTCACCGCATGAGAGGAAAGTAAAGGTCAGAGTTCAGAGAAACATCAGTGGTTCAAGCTGAGAAGAGATGGAGAACTTTCACAAAGTGAAGTGTAAGAAAACCAAGTCAAGTTGAGGCCTTCTGATTCAGAGTCAGATTAAAAGTCACTAGTTTAATGTCCCATATTCAGGGTGTTTTTGACCATAATTGTGAGAAATAGATATAGAATTAGACATGCATCGCAGTGCAGGTTGGATTTTTTTGCCCAGAGGAGGGCTTTGATGCTTATAATAGGATTTAACTTAAAAGCCAATTGTTGGTATGAGGAAAAACTTTCCTTTCTAAAAGATATCCTCTAATTTGGAGCCTGGATGACAGTGGTGGTCAGCCCAGAATCCTCCAGAGGATTTCAGAGCTCATTAAATTACCATATAAACGAACCCTGTCAAGTCCAATTCCGACCCCCGCTTCCTTCTTTCACTTCTTTTGCCAATTTATTTCTGGCAACTTTTTTTTTTTTTTTATTAATTCAAGGTCTCTCTCTTAGTCCAATTCTTGCTGTTCTGCACCTCCTCGTTCAAGGTGTTGCGCTGATTCATCTTAAAGTGTGAACGTGCCGGACAGCCTTTGGCGTGGCATGTAATGTGGCCAAACCTCTCCCTGAACCGGGTCGACATCAGGTTGTAGAGGATGGGGTTGACGGCGGAGCTCAGGTAGAAGCAGACCCCGGAGATGATGTGGACTTTTTCATAGATCATCTGATGCTGCTTGGAGGTGATGTAGCTCCACATCAGGCGGTCCACGTGGAAGGGGGCCCAGCAGAGGCTGAAGACGATAACCAGCACGCCTGGAGTACACACACAAACACACAGCTTTATTTTCATGTCATATGGGGGACATTTCATTGAATTGCATTATTTTTATAAAGCCTAACCCTTTACTAATCCTAACCTAAACTGAATTAACACCTTAGTTCTAAACCTAATCCCAACTCAAAGAACAGAGCTTAAACTTAACATTGTAGGTAAAATAAAACCACACAGAACCTGCTATTTACTCTGTTTACTGCCACAGAAAACATATTTTGCTCTAAACTTTGGAAGGTTTTTTACAAATATCTGTGCTGTGCAGGTTAGTATGTCTGCTTTGGATTGAAGGACCAAAAAAACAGAACCTACACACTGCAAAAAATAGAAATCTCAATAAGTTATTTTTTCTTAAAATAAGTGTGTTTTTCCTTGATTTGAGGAGGTAAGTAAGACACTTTGCCAATGGAACAAGACAATTTCCTTTTAAAATAAGAAAAAACTATTTTATAGTCTTATTTCAAGTAAATATTATCTACTCATTCCATTGGCAAATCAT